TGTGTGAGTTTCCCACATCTCTCCTCCCTGGACCTTGAACACAGCTGCCAGCTCTCCACCAGCTTCTGTCACTTCCCTGCATGCACACCACCGTCCGAGGGTCTCAGAAGCTCACAGTCTTCCGCCTGGCCCAGCCAAACTCCACCACGGCCTTTGCCGTTGTCAGGAAACCCCGTGATTCACCTCCTGCTGCTGCCTTATCACCCCCCAAAGTCGCCAGCCCAAACTTTTATTTACCATAAATCCCTATCTCTCCTCTTCTAGGATCTTGTTCCTCTCAATTTAATCTTTCCCCTTCAAGGGGGCCCTTTCTCTGGGCTCTTATATTTGTACAGACCTCCAGCTGCTTGGGGAACTAAAGAAAGATTTATTTGTACTCTGTTGCTCCCTAATCTAACATTCTCCCTCTCTCCTCATCCTTTTAATCATTGGGTATGCAGCCTGATCTGTCTCCTCCTTTTCCTGAGCCCTGTCTGTGCCTTATCTCAGACTGCAGACTGCTCTGCACCATCAGCCTCTCTCCCAGGACCCGCAGGACTCCTTCAAAGGCACTTCCCGCTCTCACAGGAGGCTCTCCAAATACCACCCTCTCCCCAAGTCTCCACTCCAGTCATACCTACAGGGACACCCCTCACCCGCAGGCTGCCCTGGGAGGTGCTGATTGTGTGCCTGCACACCACCCGGGTCTGGGTTATTTGGGCCCTGTTCCAGGACGTGACTGTTCCCTGTGGTCCTGCAAGTCTTCCTGGCCCAAGGTGCAGATGCTCCACTCCTAGATCACTGCGTCCTCTCCCAGGTCTGGCCTCTCCTCTCTATCCTGGCTTTCTGCACTGCCGCCTCTTTTTACATCTGCATCTTCATTTCTCTGTGGTACTCTCCCCCATGCAACCCTTCTTTCAGACTGGGCCTCCTGTGAATGCTGTACTGCCCTGGTCTTTCTCATCTCTCTTTCACAAACCCCTCTTTCTCCTCTTTTCTCCTCAAATATGAGTATTCCCTAAACCTCTCTGCACACATTCTTCTCCCAACACCTTTATTATTTCTTCATCCATTATCCCACATCGATAACTAATGACCCTCTGTCTTTCTCTCCCAAAGCCCAAATCGGCTACATGTACACTTGAGCATCCTGTCTCTCCCTAAAACAGACTTAAGCAACTTCTGCTTGGGCACAGTCACATTTACTTGAAACCTTGAAAACTCGGATTCTTTCATCTCTTTTGCCAAACACCAACCAAGGACTAAGAACTCTGGCTGTCCCTTTGAATTCTCTCCCCTTGTCCAGCCGTGGTGTTCCCAGAGCTCAGGCTCCCAGCAGGCCCTCGACTCGCTGTGATGCTATGATGCTGCACCACACACACTTATTCTGGAGGAACCACCAGCTTCACATGTGGCTCTTGAAGCAAGTACAAAAAAACACATAATAGATTTATTGTGAATAGGTCTTTAAATGTATTATCATGTTCTTTGCAAATCTATATTAAGATTGCAATGTGGAAAGGGACTTTGGACCAACAACAAGCCAAACAAAAAAAATTCAGGTAATTGTCTTTAACCTTTTTTGGAGGAAAAAATTATGCTCTCTCAGTGACGACAATTGTGAATGATGGCATCCACCCTGAACTGGAGGAATATTTTGTTTCTCCAGCACAAAGTGACAGCTCTTGACTAATCTCTCATGGTCGTCTAGGCTACCTTACCTAGTGCCATCCATAAACTTGTTTTTATTACCCACTTCCTGCCCCGAAGCCTGGAATAAAACTCCATACCCACGAGTCTGGAAAACAGCTCTGGGAAGCATGACCCAACTAGTTTGGGAACAGTCATCTGTGAAGTAACTCACCAAGTCCAGCACTGGAGGCAGAGCTCCAGGACCATGTAAGGGCATCTGTCTGTGAAGGGCGGCTTCAGCTTCAGGGGGATGACTACCACCCCCTGCCCCTGAGACGAGGAGTGATGGGCCCTGAAGCGTGGTCAGAACAAACTGGTGGCCTGAATGACTGTCCAGAGCCAATGTGATGGGCACAAACGTGGTGACTGGTCACCTGTTTCTTTCCTTGTTTTCTGCTGCCCCACCTTTGGAAGGTCTGCAGGACCATCTCAGCGTGAGACTGAAATGAGACTGTGTGACTAGGGCAGCTGGTGCCCGTGGGCTCACTGTGTTTGTCCCCTGGTGGATCCGAATCTAAAGGAATCTACCTGGCTTTCTTCTAGGGGAAAAACCTGGATGCCTATTTGAATGTTCAAACTTGGTAAAAATGTTGCCGTGAAGAAAGTGACTGTCATTTCTTCAGTTGTCAAGGATGGCGTGAGTAAGAGCAGACACCCCTCGGGTTTGGGATCCTATCTCAAAGGGTATAAATGGGCTCCCTAGAGGTCACTGGACCGCCATCCAACTTCTCCGCCTCTTCCATTTGATAGAACACAACAGAACTATAGGATTTTATCATCCAGCACGGTAAATTTAAAGCTAACTTAATCTCACCTCATAATTCCTTAACCTGACTGCCTATCTAGTTCAGAAATACATCTGCAGGTTAGGTCATGTCTTACGGAGCAGGATCAAGAGCACCTTAGGGATCGCAGTGGACACACCTTCTTACACTCACTGGCCTTACCCCTTCACTCTGAAGGGCACTCTCCAGCTGAAGAGCCATTTCCACACGCCCAGAGAAGGTCGGTCAAATGGGAAGGAGAATTTCCAAAGTGTTCCAGGGACACAGCACACGGTGGGCACTCAACTACTGAGTGAATGAAAGAACGGAAGAAGGAATTAATTCTAGGCTCAGGGAAGGCTGGGAATAATAGTTTCCTTCCATGAACTAGAATAAAAAAGTTAACAATATTGAAACTTAGAGTGTATACTGAAAATAAACAGACATTTCATTTGATTAAAAAAAAACACACCAAACTGTTAATTTACATTGTTGCTATTAAGCCATTTTGGGGAGGAAAAAATGACATCCTCAAATTAAGTATTATAAGCAGCACTAGTTTCTTTCCTATTTTTAAAAATACTTTGGAGGAAATGAAACATACTCAGAATGTTTTATTAACTAGAACGTTTAGTTTAACTAGTTTAATTACTACTCTTGGGAAATTACTATGACCAGTGGGACCCCTGTGTTTGGCCTTTGGTGGGAACGCCCCGGGTCCAGCACCCACCTGCACAGGCAGCTGAGCTCTCTGCCCCAGTGTCCACGGGGTCAACAGGACAGGCAATCAGAGCTCTCTGTGTGGTGACCCTGGAGTCTACCTTGTGAATCCCGCCAACAGGAGCAACGGCCACTGGAGAGGGCCAACCTCTGCTTTTATCCCAAGTCAGTTCAGAGAGATGGTTGTTGCAGCTCAGTAAATAGTAAACTAATATCCTTCTGGAGTAAAAACTCCTGAAAAGAAGAGGCTGTGTTTTATTTCTGTTCCGCCTCTGTGGTTCCAGCTCACGGCCTTACACGGAGCACGAGGTCAGGTTATTGAATAAACATTGAAGAATGATGTCTAAAGTCACAAATCAGAATGATGAGAAACATATCCAATGACTCAAAACATGGGGATAAGAAGATAAACTCTCAATTCCATCCAGTTCTAGGTCATTCAGGTGACAGAAACCAGGTTTGGAGAGACGGGAGCCGTGAACTTAGATCCCGTTCATTAAGAGGTTTAGGGATGGCATACACAAGGCCTATGATCTGGGAAAATTTCCAACCAGGAAAAAAATACAGGTGGTTTTCTATCTCATATGTGCTCCTACAACAACCTACATTTTGAGTCAATGCTGTCATCTCCCAATTAAACAGGAAAACTGGAGCTTTCTGCTGCCAAATTAAGATCTATTTCTTGGCTCACTGACTAAGGAAACTCCTAAAACAACTGTGATAAATATTTTTAATTTAACTTCTATTTAACTGTATGTTACAAACATATTTAGACTTCTTTAATGTGACTTTTTCTATAATAATTCCATCTGGAATAAGAATAATTTCTAATTTATTTATCAACTATATACAGTCGTTGACTTCCAAAATGGAAAGTGTGATCTTTTAAAAATTATTCATTGAAAATCCGAGTATTCCCAGATTTCAGAAATAATAGACATTTGAAAACCTCAGAGCAATTTTGAGGCTTCACTCTCCTATTTTCTAAGAAACCTGAGCTAACAACAACTGCAAGAAAGTAGGGTTTCCTGTGTGCATGCCCCATCTTTCTAGAGGCCTCTGTAAACCCCTGTAGCGTGGTGTGTGAAGGAGGCAGCCTGGGCCACTTAGGCAGCGCACACTGGGGCTTGTAAGCAATTACAGGGTCAATGCATCTCTTGATTAAGAGCAGACAGCTTTCAGAGGAAGAGAAATCAAATTATACAACATGGTAAGAAAAAATGAGGAGAAATATCATTCCAGAAAGACAGAGGCACAGAGAGGAAGAAAAAACTAGGGGTAGTTAAACTGATGGGAAATGATAGGACAAATGGGAGACAGAAAGAAATAAATGTCCAGGAAAAATGCACATATGGGAGGGAGGGAGGGCAGCATGGAGGGAAAATGGAATGTATTTACACTAGTGTGAAGAAAATAAGAGTGTTTGTTTATTGGTTTAAAGAAAGAAAATCCTGTAAAATCAGTTTGGAGCAAATGTTTGTATATTCAGCCATTAGGAAACTTAAATGAAGCAATTGTTGCTATTTTTTAATGAATCTTAGCTATTCTGCAATAAAATACCAAGAAATTAGGAATTTAATGTTCATAAGAAATGGTATTAAGAAGTTATAATTACAATTTGGGTCCTCAGTACAAGTTGCTCCACAATTTAAACTTATGCAAATTCCTGTTTGAAAAAAAAAGTTATCATTCAAATAGTCCCACTGGTAGCAATAAGCTAGGTGAATTTTGGTTAAAAATAAAGAATGAGGGGCTGGCCCTGTGGGATAGTGGTTGGGTTCGGTGAGCTCGCTTCAGCAGCCTGGGATTTGCAAGTTCGATCCTAGGCTCGGACCTACACCACTTGTCAGCCATGCTGTGACGGCGTCCCATATAAAACAGAGGAGGATTGGCACAGATGTTAGCTCAGGGCGAATCTTCCTCACCAAAAAATAAATAAAGAATAAAAATCTGGGCTTGATGCCATAGGAGATACAAAAATAGGTACTTTGCTTTCTTTAGACACAAAGTATTTGTGAAGAATTAGATCAAGGATCCAATTAGAAGACAACACAGGAACCACTTAGGGCTAAAATACATGGTCCCGTGATAAAAGCCAGGAAAGGTAAATGAACGTGAGGGAATAAGCCAGAGGCTTCAGGAGAACTTTACGGAGAAATGCGAACTTGAGCTGGTTAGAATGTGAAGACCGAGAAATAAACACTCCTAGTACTACTAAATTATACGTAATTCTCTGATACTGGGTGATCTGGGATTTTAACTATCATTCTTTTTTTTCAGCAAATATTTATTGTGCATACACTATATTGCTAAGAGCTACACAGGACCCAAAAGCAGTTTTTGTAGTTATGCTGCCCATCTGATAGGAGGGCCAGGGCCCACAGGTGCCATCCACAGTCAAGATACGGTGGCCAAGAGCGAGAGCTCCCAGCCAGCCTGCCTTGGCTCAAAGCCCTGTCGTGCCACTAACTCGGTGCTGCCCTTGGGCAGGTTAGGGGACCTCTCCCTACCTCAGTGCTCTGCTCTGTTAGGGGAGGTGACAGCACCAGCAGTACCTCCTAGGGCTATTCTGAGGATTAAAAGAGTTAATGTGTGTAAAGCATTTAGAACAATGTCCAGCATATAATCAACAACTGAAACGACTATTGTTGGTGATAATCTTCTTTTCTATAACTTATCCTTTCTTGCTCTCCCCCTTGGTCTTGTATATCCTCCTGGCTACTGTCCAATCTCTCTTCTTAGATTCTTGCATGAACCAAATATATGGCTTAATTCACCTTTTCCTCTCTTCACTTCTGACTCATTTCTCGGTTAACAGCATGCTGGCTTCTGCCCTCACCACTTCACTGAAGGTGAACATTGGTGAGGGTACAAAATTACTGAAGACTCCCACACTGCCAGATCCAGTGGTCACCCCTGGGTCCACATGTTACTAAACCACTGTCCACATTTCATAGTTGACTCTACATGGACAAGAAACTACATTCCATAGTTTCATCATTGAAACCCTTTCGATATCCCTGGTCCCATGACCACCTGACATTTTCTGTCTGGTGCTTCCTTCCAGCTTGATGTCTATTCCACTTCATTCCCCTTTTCCACTGTTTATTCCTGACGTGTTGGCAATCCCCAGGTTCCCATCCTTGAGCCATTGTCCTCTCCTTACATGCTCTCCTGGTGGTTCTCTCCTCTGTACTTTCACGTCCTTTAAATCATCTTCCACAGCTGCTGGACACATGCGGTTGGAAGTCCCACAGCCACTGAGAGCTCAGCACATCCAAAGCTAAACTCATTTAATCACCCACCGCATTCCGTTCCACCTGGTGTTCACCTGTATTCTCGATGGCAGTTAACGGCCCCACTGTCCAGCCAACCACTCAAACCAGGAATCTGGAAATGACAAATCTGTCCCTCTTCTCCATCTTCTACACTCACTCCTTCACTAATACATTTCAACTGTTGTCCTATTTTTTCTCCATTTTTACTACCATTGCCTCAGTCCAAGTTCTAATTATCTCTTGCCTAAGCTGGAACAGCAGTTTCAAAACAGATCTCCTACCTCCAGCTTGTCCCCTTCAAGCCATCATTCATAGAGCTGGCATAGTGATCAACCTAAACTGGAAAATTTACCTGCCTAAACTCCACCTACCTCACAGACTGCCTGTCACCTACAGGAAGAAATCCTGGACCTTTAACATAGTAATACATCCCTCCACCATGTTATCTCTATTTATAAATCTCTCCAGCTTCAATAACAGCCACCATGCTAAGTATGATTATATATATAATATATGTATTTATAAAGTATTCTAATACTTTGATTTACTATTATTATTCCTATTTTACAGATTAAGCAGATGGTATTGGAAGCAACTTGCTCAGAGTCATTAAATCAATAAAGTTGACCACTGAATCCAAATCTAATCACGTTCCCCAATGAAATTTCCTTGAGGCCAAGGTCCACATCATTCCCTTTCTTGGACCTCCAGCATCTAGACATTACCTGGTACATAATGGCTGTTAATTAAATATTAAACCAAATTGACTATTAAAAAAAAAAGAGAAATTATAACATGATAATTACAAAAGATCATCCTGCCACTGATGGAGGAAGGAGAGAGATTCTAGACCACCTCACAGGCTCTACAAACAGAAGCAGCGAACTCTAGGACTGGGTTTGTGAAATGTGTCTCTTTTCATGTATACCTAAACTTAAATATCTTCCAAATTATGATATAACCTCTATATTGGCAAGAGTAACTTGAAGGTTCTTTTTACTTCTAAACTGTATTTTATTTAAATGTCTTATTTACTTTTTGAGGAGCAAAAATAAGGTAAATGTAAATATTTACACTAACAAGTTTTCTGCTACAGGATACAGTGTGTGTATGGAATATACACGCATACATATTAACACATAAAATGGAAAAAGTCCAAACTATTTTTAAGTTTAGAAATAGATGACTTCAATAACATTTAGGAAACTCATTTTCAGACAAACTGATAACAAAGGATCAAAAGATCACCTGAAACTCTGAGACCCATCAAAGAATTTCAAAAATTATGAAAAAATGCAATTGTTTGGCCATTCTGTCTCCCAGTTGCAACCAAATAGAACTTCAAATAGCATCCTTGTAAAGGGTTGAAAAAAAAGAAAACTAAAGTGGAAACATCTACAAATCATTAAACATAACAGTGAGCTGTGGCTTCAAGTAGTTTCACACCACTGGGCTGGGATAAAGCACTTTCATCTGCCAAAATAGCCATTTGCAATTAAAAATTAAAACTGGCACCACTTCTTTGCAAGCAATTATCACAAGGCTGCTGACTATCTTCCTTGTTTATAGTGTTTCTTGTATCAAGACTTCATTCCATTTTGAAATATTATTTTCTTATGTTTTATTTCTTTTAGGCCATAATATTTCTAAGACTAATATTTTAACACTTTTCAACATTTCTAATCATAATATGATCCTCAAATACTATGGAATTGTTTAAACTTCTGAAAACAGATTGATTTGAAAGCTGTCTGGAGCACTTTATGTTACTATATTAGCAGGGTATAAAGCAGTTTAACTTGAATAAGGCCTCCCTCCCTTTAAAAGAAATCAGTGATTTTTAAGGAAGGCAGGAACAAAAATAAAATGCAAACATCAATTTCTATAGACAGAGACTTAATTCAGAGTAGAACACACATGTAAATGATGAAGTCATTCATCAGGTCCAACTGAGTCCTGACACAGGGAGTAGACAATAGTGTAAAACTCCATCTTCCACCAGGAACCAGTCGTATATTTTGGATATCCAGGGTCTTGGTAAGTGAATCAGTTTGTATGCACGGAGCGTCTTCTGGGTGGTAGACACTGTTCTGGGTGCTGAGATACAGCAGAGAACAAGACAGAGAGGCCCGCCTTCACGAAGTTGGGTAGAAACAGGCAACACACCCATTCCTTCTCCAGCAGAGGAGCGAGGTGTTCTATTAACTCTTTGGAAAGACCACTTTGGCTATCGTGGCACATGGACCTTACCAGGAGTTAGGAGGTGGCCCTGCAGCTCAGAGATGAAAAAGGGAAATGATAAGAAGGTCAGATCACTTCTTATTACAAATACTCCTTCCCTTTATGATAGTATTTTAGACTATCCACAGTATCCTCCACCATTTTGGCTGGATCACAGACAGTGTTGTGCCCATTTCACACATAACAATTTGGAGACCCAAAAGGGTGAAATGACTTATTCCAAGTCACAAAGCTAATTAGTGGGAAAGTTGGAAACAAAGCAACAGTCTTCTACTTCTAGCCCCATTCCTTTCTCCTCTAAATGAATCATCACTATCTTACTTCTAAGAAACGAAAAAGACTTGGTAGTTCCTTCAGCTTTGGTTCACTCTGAAACTACTCTAAGGAAGGCATCCAAGGAAAAGTATTTACTTAATCATTAAGGAAGCATTTATTGAAGGTTTGCTGGATACAAGGCATCTTGAATGCTTGGGATTCAGAGATAAGGAGGGGATTTTCCGTGAGGGAAGCTCATCCTCTTGTAGGAAAGACAGTTCAAGTAGCTCACAATGACAATACAGTGGGGCAAGCACCGTTACAGTGACATTCCCAAGTGCCATGGAATCTGAGACAAAGGGCAGTAAATTATTCTTGCAGGGGGAGATGTGTCCAAGAGGAAGCGACACTTGAATTGTATTTTGAAGAAATAGTAGGAGTTGGACATCTAGAGTGCAAGGAGTGGGAAGAATCCAAGAGAACACCATAAGCAAAGGCACAGGCCACAGGATGGAGCAGCTCAGTAAGGCTGGGGTCAGGCAAGAGAGGCGGGAGGAGACCATGTCACAGAGGGTCTTGTGAGCTGTTCCAAGGAATCGGGGGTTAACTCACATTTCTGTCTCCACTTTCCCAAATCTTAACCATCCTCCATCCACTGACCTCACAGTGATGACCCTCACCATGCCACTGCAGCTGCCGCAGCAGAGGCCATCTGTGACCTCCGTCATGACCAACCCAGTGACCAACCCTTCTAGTCCATTCCACAGCACTGGAACGGCTGACCACAGCCGCCTTCCTGCACACGTCTTCCTTCCTTTGCCTTTATGAGAATAAGGTCTCCTGGCTCCTTCCACGGCCTTTCGGTTGCTCTGTCGTGTTCCCCCAGGTTCTTCTGCAGGCTCTCCGTCTTCCAGCCACTGCTGGATGTTGGCGTTCCCCAGACTCTGTCCTCCATCTGTCCTCATCTCACTCTGCATCTCCGGGCTAGCTCACTCATTCTGTTCATTAACTACCATGAAACCGCTAGAGGCTTCCAAATCTAAATATCTAATCTAGACATCTAGATTAAGCTCTAGATTTATAAATGCATTTATTCATTCAAAAATATTTCATTGAGTGCTCTCTACATGCCAGAAATGGCTCTGGTTGCTAATCCAAGACTCAAGGGAAAGACACTGAGTGAGCCTGGTTCACTATTTTTTTTTTTTTTTTTGGTGAGGAAGATCAGCCCTGAGCTAACATCGGTTGCCAGTCCTCATCTTTTTGCTGAGGAAGATTGGCCCTGGGTAACATCTGTGCCCATCTTCCTCTATTTTATATATGGGATGCCTGCCATAGCATGGCTTGATAAGCGGTGCACAGGTCCTTACCCAGGATCCCAAACTGTGAACCCCAGGCCACTGAAGCAGAGCACACAAACTTAACCACTATGCCACTGGGCTGGCCCCCACTATTGTGTTTTTACCACTTACAATCTCCACCTAAATGTCTTACAAATATCTGAAACTCAACAAGTCCAAATCTGAACTCATTATATTGCCCCCAAAGTGTGCCCCTCACCCCTTGTCCCATATATTAGTGAATGGTATTTCTGTTCCCCAATTCACCCAAGTCAGGATCGTACTTCTCACACCACGTGTCAGACTGGTGAAAATGATCTTCCAATTCTGCCTACTTCACACTTCTCAAGTAAACTCCTCCTTCTTGTCTCCAAGTTGCTGCCTAAATTCCTTAGTAATCATCTCTCACCTTTCTAGAACAGTCCACGGCACAGAGTAGATACTCAAAAGACATTCCTAGAATGAATTTATGGATAAAAGAATACAAGAACGAATAGAAAAATTGGGCAACTGCCAGCATCTCACTACAGGCCATACTGGTCCATGCTGTACCCTCCAATCCATTTACCAAATCGATAACAGACAGATCTTTCCAAAATCCGTATCTGATTACATTGTTCCTCTGATGATCGCCATTCAACAAGCACTGCTACGTCCAGGATAAACAGCTCCAGGGCCGGCACTAGATGCCCTCCATCCTCATCCTGCACATACTTCACAGCACCTAGAATGACTGTTGACTCACAATTCCATACCTTTGCCTAAGCTTTTTTCTCTGTCAAGATGGCTCATTCCTCCTTGCTTTTCCACGTGAAAATTAACTACTCATTTGTCAAAACTCAGCTCATGCCTCACTTCCCCTTTGAAGCCTGTGCCGACCTTTCTGCCCTCATCCCTGCCTCTGTCTCTCTTCCCACACGACTTTGTACTTAACCTCTAGAACAGCATTGCCCCACACTTGGTCACCCCCTGCTGGAGTCCCTTCCCTTCTTCAGAGTGGGGGCCTTTGCCTTATTATTTTGGGAATTACCACATGTGGACACTCAAATGTCTGCAGATAGATGAACGAATGAATGAGTAGATGGTGAAGTGTCATAGAAAGATTATAGGCAAGAGGATAATCTGATATATTTGCATTTTAGGAAAAACACCATGGTGTCAGAGCAGAGAGCAGGAAGGCTAAGAACAGAAGCTTAGAACAGAAGCTTAGCAGAAGGCTAAGAACATTCAGCAGGAGAACATTACGAATAATCCAGTGGAAAGATGCTGAGAAACAGAGAGGGATAGTGGTAGCAGCAAAGGAGAGAATAGATCTGAAAAGTATTTATAAAGTGGACACACAGAATTTAATGGTCTTTTGGATGGCAAGACGGAGTAACTACGCAAAAAATGAAGCAGTCGAGGATGACTTCCAGGTTCCTAGCTTGGTTGATAGGACTATTTCTTCTAGTTTAAAATATCTATAAGTTCCAATCCATGGCATTACACCAGGTAAAGATTCACTGGACAAAGTGAGGAGTTACATGTGTCCGTCTCACTGCTTCCTGTGCCATTTCTCAGAACCACAGTTGCTGCATCAATGCAAATTTATATACAGATCCCCATCACATGTTCCTTTACCACCACCATTCTTCAAACTTTTCCTAAAGAGAGGAGAAATTAAAAATGGACAAACAACATTCAAAAAAATGTTACCTCATATTTGACTAGCTTGTCTATTACACAGAAGAACAGCTGAAGACAAGAAACAGGGAACATAGCTGTCTGGTAAATTCTGAAGAACAGGAAGGGAACGCTCTCCTGGTCTCCACTAATTTGTAAAGATGGGAAGAAACTATCTGAATAGGCCATCTCTTGTTCTCGCCAGCCATCTCATCAGTAGGCTAGGATATAGACACTTGAAACCACGATTCACACCATCAGAATACCAATATAATAATTATTTTGCATATTTAACGGAAATTTTTCTTTACCTGAAACATAACTTTAAAAGTACTATACTTTTCTTGTTCTTGGCAGTGAAAACACGGGTCAGCCACGTAAATCCTTTCCTGAAGTGCCTCATTAATCACAGCGCACTTGTTCTTGGCAAGAACCTTAATGTGCTACAAAAACTGTTATTAAAGTAAGATTTGGGGATTCTCGGGCTGGCAGGGAATTGGTTAGTTATACTGCTTCAGAAATTGTTTTCTTATAATTTCCTTTATTATTAATGGTCTGGTTAGACTTACAGTGAATTTCCTTTGTTAATTTAATGTGTAAAGTCCAGCTATTCTAAAGCTCATTTAAACTCATAAGCAGCAATTGCAAAGACTGCCTGTCCCTCAGGGTGGGCCGTGGTGCAGAAGCCTCAGAACATAACACTGTCATCCCCTCTTTGTGCTAATGGAGATCTAGACCCCGCCTAACTGCTCAAGCACCATGGCTCCAGACTCCAGAAACGTGTAAACAAAACTTCACATCAGCACGTCATATTGACAAGCACATAATTTATTCCTTATCTATCACTAAAGACATTGACAGACTGAAAAAGCCTGGTGAGTAGAGAATTGTCCAAACTTGAACCTCTTGAAAAATCATTTGTCAAAATTTAAAAATTCTCTAAGGCCATAAAAGCCTGTTAAACACGAACATACTGAAAAGAAAATGTTGCATTACAAGAAGTCCTCTCCACGTTCCAGGGCACTCAGAGGCACAAGCATGAGCACCACCGAGGCCGTCCCTAACCCTCTCAATGTACAACCTGTAATTTACCAAAAACCAAAGGTGGCAAAGGGCAGCACATTGTAAATTCAAAGTTATGAACATCAGGAGCAAACTCCAGTAAAAAAATAATTTTCCATACTGTGTAGACTTTGCTGCCAAACTGAGCACAGATCATTATCATCAAATGTATTAGTAGATCCTTACAGGTCAAAATAATTTATCAGGCTCATTAGGTAATAGGATTAATTAAATATCAACTCAGAGAGGATGAACATGAAAAGCATCAGCAGAGTTTCTCTAAGTCTATCATTTATCACAGTAGCCACATCCAAATCAATGCGAATCTTACATAAGTGAATAATAACATTACTACGTTTGATGTAACGATGATGCTACACAACGTTCTCCTTCTGTACACTGTAAGGGGGAGATTGGCTGGAATATTCTACCGACTGCTGCACTTTCACAACAATCTGGGACTGTCAAATTCTCCAGACACCAGAGCCCCGCAGATTGTGGGCTCCACCAATTTCCTGACCCCTTCGTGGTCAGATTCCAGGTTCACCTATTTACACGACCAGCCCCTTCTTCCGTGTTATTTCAAAAACGTTTCTGGTGTTGACGCCAATCCTCCGTCCCAGGTGGGAGCTACGTTTGGGTGACACGCCTCATTTCTTAAAAAAAACTAGTTCATGTGTTCAAAACCCATTTTACTAGGAAACAAGGAAGGTATCAGTGAGTGCCTGCATCTCTCTCTACAGGTCTCCTAAGGCTGACATCTTTATACTTCGTCTTACCACAAAGCAGCAGAAAAAAAGAACTCGAAAGAGAGGAGAAAAAGAAGGGGGAAAAAAAAAAGAGTTAGGGTGTAACGGCATAAAAACCACCTTAAAATGCCCAGACGAACCTAACTCACAGCAGAGTGAATGAAGGGATGTGGTGGGGAAAGTGGTAAACGTTAAAGCCACTGAAAGGTTTCAAACGCCTGAGGGAAAAATAAACATTCGCTTCCCATCATTTTCTCATTAAGCATTCTCTGCGGACGGCGAGTTTTTCCTTAGCGCGCGCTCTACTCCGCGCGCAAACGCCCCCTGACTCCACCGCCGGCCGGGGAGGGCGTCCGCTGCGGCCCTGGGCGCGCCCGGGCTCCGGCGCCACCTCGCCGGCCCGCTCGCCTCGCCCAGCCCCGGGCCACCTCTGAGCAGGAAGGGCCACATGCGCTGACAGATTTTCCGTTAGTGGCGGCTGAGGTGGTGGCGAGGCGTGTTTCCGGGCTCTCCCCACCAAGTCGGCAGCAGCCTCCCCGGCTCCGCCTCTAGGGCTGAGGACCCGGCCCTCCGTCTCTCCTCTCTCCACGCGTCCTCCGGGCCATCACCTCCCACCCGCCCCGACACACGCTCCCCAGCTCCACACGAGCGCACGCCTCCCTTAGCCTTTCTCAGCTCCCGGGCGCCCTCCTCGGTTGAGGTGGACGTGTCTCGGAACGTAATCGCTCCCAATTATCCGCGCAGCCTGAGTCCCGCGTCTGCCCGGCTCTCCCTCTGGTGGCTAAAGCTGCCGAGCAGCTCCCTGGGTATGGTCGGGAGAAGGTGCAGCCTGTGGGTGGGAGAGGTGGGGCTGAGCGAGGTGGAGGGCTCCAGGGGGAAGACCATAAACACGTGCCGAGAAATACAGCCACCGCGTGCGCGCGCGCGCGTCCGTGTATGTGGTGTGTGTGCGCGTGTGTGCTGTGCGTGCGGTGTGTGTGCTGTGTGTGGTGTGCGTGTGCGAGTATGTGTGCGCGCGTCTGTGTATGCGGTGTGTGTGCGTCTGTGCGTGCGCTGTGTGTGGTGTGTGTGGCGTGCGTGTGTGGTGTGCGATGTGTGTGTGCGTCTGTGTGTGGTGTGCGTGTGCGAGTATGTGTGCGCGCGTCTGTGTATGCGGTGTGTGTGCGTCTGTGCGTGCGCTGTGTGTGGTGTGTGTGGCGTGCGTGTGTGGTGTGCGATGTGTGTGTGCGTCTGTGTGTGGTGTGCGTGTGTGGTGTGTGTGTGTGCGCGCGCGCCGGGCCAGGGCCCCAGGCACACGGGTCCCAGAAGGGCGCGCGGGGGCGCGGGTACTCACACGAACGCGTGGTAGACGAACGCCCAGCCGCGGGGTCTCTCCAGCACGTTGTACAGGTAGTTCTGCAGCCGCCGGTACTTGACGTTGCGCCGGCAGCTCTGGCCGCTGGTGTAGGAGAGCGGCTTCCCCAGCAGGCTCATCCGGGCCCCCTGCTTGCCCCGCCGGCTCTCCCTCCGGCCGCCGCCGAGCGCGGCCGCGCGGGTGCCCAGCAGCAGCAGCCCGTCGCC